CACTCCAACTGAACACTGCAATGATGTAGTTAGTGTGTTGAGATAGGCTGGATTTCGCATCCACATGTTCACATGTTTGTCGAAAATGCACCCACATCTGTGTGCAATCGTGAAACTGTTAATAGTCAAATATCTCATTTACCATATATTAATTAATCAGATATTCACAGTCGATGGGCATCACCACAGTCAATCAGTGTGTGGTTACTTCGTGATATTCATCGACGTGCACACCTACAGCTGTGCACTGACATCCTTCTCCTCCTCATCCTCAATTACACATGTGATAATACTCTTGTAATTGACTGTTCATTTTTCCAAATGTTCGGATTCATGTTTCGATTGATTGCTATTGTTTGTTCATTTCTATCAAGCGGATTCCAATTATGGTTGGATGAATACAAGAATTACGATTTCTACACGAGAACATGTCGTATGGGTCAGTGTGGTCATTATACTCAGGTAAGCATTAGAACGATTACAAAGCATTCTTGTTAAAATAACTACTTCAGACAAAGTCGTATAGACACTGACTAGTGATATTGTGGTCGATGCATGAAACCGTCTAACATGGCTACGTGTAGTATCCAACTATCCGTTGTCACATACACACAAATCGGAAATGTTCCAGTCCTCGTTAGCACGCTTCTTGTTTGTGTTAGAGTAAGCTTGACTCTGTCCAACGAATCAAATCTTTCATATCGTTGCGATCTCTGACTGTTGTTGATTTAAGTGAACGATTTATATGAATGTGTCCTCTTAAAATACACTATTCAATATCTCACTGTCACTTGGTTCATTTCAGCTTGTCTGGGAAGACACTACGGATGTTGGATGTGGTGTCACGAACTGTCCGAATTTCCCATACGGACTCAGCATCGTGTGTAACTATGGTCCTGGGTAAGTCATTAACAAGATCATTTTCATTTACTTGAATGATTTGTCACCTGCTCTTCCCATTATGACTCCGTTCTGCATACTTTCTTCATGATCGGATGTTGTTTGTAGTGGAGTTCAATTTGGCTGTTGTTTACCAATATTACTGATACACTCTATTTCTATTCATCCGCTCAAACTCTCGTTGCTACCTAAATAAACACTTGCTATCCTGGAAATTATTGCCTGGCATTTTTAACTCTGTCACAACTAATGCATACTTTTGTCACGATCAACATAGATCACTGTTGAATGTTTAAACCAACTGAAATCACATTTCATCTGTTGTAGTTACGCTTGCCATGTACCCAATAGTAACGGAATCCACGATGAATCAGTGGTCATCAACAATGTACTCATTGTGAACAGAACCAACTCTTTTGAATATGAATTTCACTATATTTTACAAACACTTGAATTCGCATGAATATCAGAATTGATTTTTCATTACTAGTATTACACAGACTTTCACATGATCAATATCTCCTTTGAAATTTCTACATGTAATCTGACTACTGATATGCACAAGTAGTTTCATCGATATCATCAACAATGGTTGATTTTCATTGTAACGAGTGTGAATACGTGTCGATGTTCCAACTTCAATGATAATAATAAATGAACATGAGAAAATCACTGATGAACTTTGTCTCATCGTGTCGATGAACTTACTAACGTCTCATCTTTCTTACCCTATTTCAGCGGCAATTACGTTGGACGCGCACCGTACAGAACAGCATGAGGAATTGTTGGCTTCCGAAATCAATCATTTTTGCAACTGTCTTTTTTACATTTCACATATCATATCACTACTGTACACCGGTGAAAATCGCCTAATTTGTATATTTGTATTGATGTGAAATTATCTTTTCCAAATAACAATCGTTCAAATGTCAGGCAAAGTCTTGATGTCTTTTGATTTGCGCGTTTTATTCCTGTGTGACCGGAGTGTCCGTTGAGGAATGGGATATTGCAATAATAATTAATTCGTTGCCAGTCGTGTGTCAGCTTACTACCGACATCGGTTTCTGTCTATACACTAGTCAGTAGCATGACTTGCTTTCACACACAGAAGCTACACTCCGGCATACTGCAATTCTAGAGTATGATAACTTCTCTATCTCTACAAAACGATGAATTTACAAAATGCGCACAACTCAAATTAATTTAGTTTGCTTCCGAATTTTCATTTGTTTGAGGGAAAACGTGATCAATGTCATGTGTGTCAGGTCCCTTCCACTAATCAATCAATTGTAAGTACATCTCAGTGCTACAGGACGTCATTCGTGGTCCGGATAACTCAGTGTTAAAGTCTCCGATTGTGATACTGGGTGATACGGGATCGAGTCTGTCAGGGAGCATCAATTCCCTCAAGATGACAGTTACACTTTGCTGACGAGTGCCGAGTAGCACGAAACCTAGATCCAGGGTTTCCCGTCGACTATCTCCAATCACTATCCTATCTCAACATTGTGAGAATGATTTCTTTTATTTATCATTATACATGAAGAGTATATTTCGAAATATCTTCAGAGTTCCTGTCAGCTTAGGATAGTCACATTTTACATTAGATAGTACACTGATGACATAGATAGCTTAAGTGAAAATTTGTTTTCACATTCAATGAATTCTGAATGTAAACAATTTGAGAGAATTAGTGTTTGGTTGTGATTAGTAGTTTAAAACGTTTACTGACTAAATTTCATCAATAGTAACTGAACTTTGACAAAATTTTGTCATCGTCAGTAAATTCTTTACTGTATACGATTGTGCATATTTTAGTAAAAAGATGTCTCAACTTTGGCACGCAGATACCTCTAGTTAACCAGATCCAAATAAAGAAAACAATTCATGTCGTGCTTTTCATCACTAGTAACGGTCTAGATTTACTAGAACACATTACCTTAGAAACTCAGTAGTTTTATAATCTGTAGTATACAAACTACTGTCTGTTAAGCGTTGCTTTTAAGCACAACAGATTAGAGAGGTTGTGTTTTCAAGCTATCGTTAATCGTTTATCAACAATTCTATACGTCAGCATTAACTAACTCGGGTTTAGTCTGCAGTGTGGTTAGTATGTTAAGCCCATATAGCTTGTTCTAGCTTCCGGACAGGCCGATTTATCCATTCTTCTCGAGTCACGTTCTGACCTTGTTAATTATTCACTTATCAACCCTTACTGTTTTTATATGGGCGTATGTTTGTATACATCTTACTCGACTAATCACATACCTGTAGTTTATTTTTGTGTGACTATAAACATTGATTAACGCTTGATTAAATGGAGTTGGCTTACACGCCTTCTCCACCGCGAATCACTTCGCTTCACTCACTTCTCTTCGCTTCATCTCTCTGATTGCCTGTCCAGATCACTGAGTGTACAAAATATCTGTATTCGAAATTCATTCTCGTATTTGACTTATTTAATTCCGTTATCAACTAACGCGATTATTTTATACGAGGTTGAGTGATATGTATGTCTCATTAGCAATCAGAAACGATCAAACTGGATTGAGATCCGATGCGACAAAATGTCAACGGATTATTGCCAATAAATTGTAATCAAAATATTCTGAGTTTGTTGACATTGATTTTCACTTAGTGTATTTTTCTTTTAATCATGTCAATGATTAATTGAAGCTAATTAACCATGTAAATCATCATAAGCGTGAAGTACAAATGAAGTGCAAATGACAATAATGATCTAGTATTTATTATGAAATAAACTTTGGCTAATTTGACTAAACAAAAAAGTGTATTTTACGCTGATTTCTCATTCGAACTCTTATATAATCAATGTTTCAACTAATCAATATGTACAAAATAGAATGAAATGAGTAAAGATTGATCACTGCCTTTATGAAGTATTTCGTGAAATCTATGTGCTACATATAAAATGATGCTGCTTGAAAAAGAAAAGAAAAGAAAAACGTTTGATATTCTCCAAATTATCATCATCAGTTCACTTCTAACTTTATGAGATCTAGAACATTTTGTGTTATTTACCAGTAAGAATTGCAGTTGACAGAGTTTGTCTAAATGATATTGTTGGAGAAGTTAGATCTCCAGAACTCACTTGGGAAATAACCTAATTTTGTAATTATATTTAGAAACTTTGAATTTTTTTGTTTTCGCACCAAAGGTGCTCTTGTCACCTTCATGTAGTATTTCCCACTGGGAAGTATCTTAAATGCTATTTGTCCGTTCCGTCTTTTAGTATGCTATTTGGTAACTCCCTCCAAGGAGGTTTTGTACTGTCTATATACGTTTTGAACTATGTTTGCCGTTATCGCTCGTTTCTGGCTGTTTGTAGAGCATACTACCCCAGTGCAAGCTTGAACTTCTCCCTCTAGTTAGCGTGGCTGGGACGCATCAGATAGCTAGCTTACTGGTCTTGATCAGTGATTGTTTGTTCTCGTTCGCAGTTTAGGTGAACTTGTGATAGCTTCAACCCTAGCAGTTATTGATCATAAATTCAAGTTCAAGAAGGCAACAATAACATGTTAGAAAAGTTCGATGGAGGTGGTAATATTATCAAGCCCATGTAGATTATTCTAGCTGCTGACCAAACCAATTTATTCATTCTTCTCAAGCTACATATTTACCTTGTCACTTATTCGCTTATTAACCCTGACTAATTTTCACATGATTGTATATGTATTAATCACTTACTTTACTCATCACGTGTCTGTAACGTATTTTTGTTTGACTAAGTTAGATGAGTGTATTCTAGCAACAATTAAAGTTTATTTATCAGTACAGGGTTGTGGAGATAGTTGAGTTCCATTGAAATCATGGAATGACATAAATCAAATCATGATAGAAAACCTGGAAGCACAGGTTAGTCCTTCTGGTGAGAAGCCGTGTCCAGTGCAGCTCAGTCCTTGTAAGGTGTCAGTTAGTCACTGACCGAAAACGATAGAGGATAGATTGAAGTTAAACGTTAGAACGATTAGATACCAATTCTCTGGTGTAGAGTTTGTAGTGGCTGTGCTTCGTTATTTAATCACCCTCGAACCGTTATCGTACAATCTTCAACGATATTTGAAATCAGAAGGCAAAAAGAAGCAGCTACTACAGTTTTATTTAGTAGATAATTCGGACCAGACAGCAGAGAGGCAAAATGAATGAGCAAGCGAACTACGATTGTAGCAGTAGCAAGTAGCTGTCGTCAATGCGTGCAAAATGTACAGGTATATATATGTATAGGAAAATAGATGAGTCAGCGAATAGATTAAGCAGTTAATAGTGAAGCTAGCAGAATGAATATATGCGTAGGCGCTAAACAATGTTCAAGCATATGTATTTCACACAAGCATAATAATAAAGATAGTACTACAAGTTGTTATATCATGGATGACTTTGTCCATTAAATAAGTTAACAAAAGGGCTTAACTGAGTTAAATGAGAAAAAACCCATTTGCACGTGAGTCGCTATAATAGTTCTCCCCTGCAAACAAAGATATATAGAAAATGTCTGTGTTTGCACACAAAAATTAGTAGACTGAATAGGGTTGTTACAATTGTTTGAAAAAAAGGCTTATACAAAATTAAGATGAAGTTAGAGTGTGTGCTGTACATTTGGTTTGCGCCCGTCCGTGAGGTTACATAAAATAATAGCAAGAAATAGAAGGAATGCGGTATTGTCTTTACATTTTAAACAAAAATTATACGTATAAGTTTAAGGGTACATAAGATACGTTGAGTTTTATAGCGTATAACATGAGCCTGATAATGCATGTGTATACAATGAAGTAGAAGTTATAATTAATATTCCGAATAGTAGATTATTATTAATAGAAAATTGTAGCAACATAATGTTGGGGCCATCTTACTCTGCGGCCAGATCTTGTTGTTATCGGAGTCTCGTTTTTTTGTTGAGTTAACGTTGTTGATTTTTGGAACTGACGTTTCGATGATTCAACGGTTTTCGCAGTATCTGTATGTACTGGCTGATCGTAGGCTTCGATGAAAGCTGGTTTGACTCGGTCGATGCTAATTACATCCGTTTTTCCAGCTTTGTCTACCGTAATAGTTTTGTCGTCTCTTTTAATCACCTTAAATGGACCATCGTAGGCCGGCTGTAAGGGACGTTGCACATTCTCCCTTCTGATAAACACATGTGTACTGTCACTTAGTTGTTTGGGTATGTACACACGGCGTTGATGTTGTCTCGGAAGCGTTATCCTTAGACTACTCATATGCTGCTTAAGACGCTGTACATAGTCGGCTATATCAGTTGGAACGCTTTTACCTGCGGTGAAAAACTCTCCTGGCAGACGTAGTGTGGTTCCATAAACCAATTCTGCTGGGCAGCATTCTATATCTTGTTTGATTGTTGATCTTAAGCTCAACATGACTAACGGTAGCTTGCTGGCCCAATCATTATTGCTGATGACAGCTGTAAGGGAGGCTTTAAGTTGCCGATGCAATCTCTCTACCATACCATTCAACATCGGATGGTAGGATGTTGTGCGAATTCGTTTGATTCCGAGTAGTTCTGTGAGTTGTTGGAAGAGGCGGCTCTCGAATTGAGCTCCTCTATCGGTTGTAATATTAGTAGGTACGCCATAATGGGAGATCCAATGCTCTACTAGAGTTTTTTTGATAGTTTCGGCTGTAATATCTTTTATGGGAACAGCTACAGGCCGTCGTGTGAATCTATCAATGCAAGTGAAAATGTAACTGAAGCCATTGGAAACCGGCAGTGGTCCTATAATATCGATATGTATGTGCTCGAATCTGTTATCGGGATGACGGAAATGACCTACTGCGGAACTGGTGTGGCGATGTATCTTAACTCTTTGGCATTTTACACACGCTTGCGTCCAATTACGAATATCCCGATTCATACTTGGCCATACAAAACGTTCGCTGATTAGTTTGATGGTGGCCTTTATTCCGGGATGTGAAATATTGTGCATGGCTTCGAAAATGTTTCGCCTTAGCGGTTTTGGAATAAATGGTCTTGGTTGACCTGTAGAAATATCGCAGGTGATGCTTACTTCTTCCAATGGAGTTTCTTTGAGAACTAACGAGGTTGTATTGGCAGACTTTAGTCTGTTTAACTCGACGTCGATATTTTGTAATGCTGCTAACTTGTGATAATCGATTTCGGACTGGACGAGAGCGTTGACCATCGTTCTGGATAGTGCGTCTGCCACTTCGTTGCTATTGCCTTTGATATACTGAATGTCAGACGTGAACTGTGAAATGAACTCTAATTGTCGGATCTCTCTCGGGGAATAATTGTCTTGCTTTGCGCTTAATGCTTTCGTTAGTGGTTTGTGGTCTGTATAGACGGTAAAATTTATGCCTTCGACTATATGACGGAAGTGTTTTATTGCTAAGTAGATTGCTAGGAGTTCTCTTCCGAAGGTACTATATCTTGTTTGTGTTGGATTCAGTCTTTTCGAAAAAAATGAGAGCGGTTCCCATGTGCCATTTACTAATTGTTGTAAAACGGCTCCTACCGCTACGTCTGAAGCATCCGTCATGATAGCCAACGGTGTGTCGCTCTTTCGTCTAGTTAGCGTCACTTCTTTATTTAGTGCTTTTTTAGCGTGCTCGAATGCTTGAATCGCTTCTGATGATAATTGGAATGTGCGTGCGTGTCCGCGTAACGCATCTGTTAATGGTTGCAATATTGACGCACAGTTTGGCATAAATCGTCTGTAATAGTTTATTAACCCGAGAAATCTGCGTAACTTTTTCCATGAATCGGGTAGGGGATAATTCTTAATGGCCTCGACTTCTTTTGCTATTGGTGTGATGCCTTGCGAAGTTATATTGTGACCTAGGAACTGTAAAGATTCTTTTCCAAATTCACACTTCTCAATATTTATAGAAATGCCGTGTTCCCTGAGTCGCATAAATAATTGCCGTAGTTGTTGTATATGCTCATCTTTAGTGGTGCTAGCTACTAATAAATCGTCGATATACGCGTATACCCCAGGTAAACCTCTAATGACCTGGTCTATAAACCGCTGAAAGGTTTGTGCCGCGTTAGTCAGTCCAAAAGGCATACGCAGGAATTCATATAGCCCAAATGGGGTTGTTACCGCTGTCTTTGGTATGTCTTGTGAGGCGACAGGGATGTGGTAGTATGCTCTGACTAAGTCGATCTTCGAGAAGATAGTAGTGCCCTCTATATTGTAGGTGAAATCATGAATGTGCGGTATAGGATATCTATCAGCTACTGTTTGTTTGTTTAGTGCTCTGTAATCCCCACACGGCCTAACCTCTCCATTCTTTTTCGGGGCCATATGTAGCGGGGATGCCCACGGGCTGTTCGATGGCCTTATAATGCCTAGCCTCATTAGCTTGTCGAATTCCTGTTTAGCGATAGCTAGTCTTTTGGGATCTAGCCTTCTTGGTCTTGCATTAATTGGTGGACCACTCGTTACGATGTGATGCTGGATAGAATGTTTGAGATCTGCTTTACTGTATGTTACTTTTACAAGTTCAGGGAACTCCTTTAACAACAATTTGTATGGATCATCACGACTTTTATCGATCACAAGATTCATTGAAACGGCTTCCGTAAGTATTCCTCTTATCGAAGTGATTTGACTGCCGTTTATAAGTCTGTGTCGTCTAGAGTCTACTAGCAGGTCAAAGTTACATAAGAAATCTATGCCTATTATGGGCATCGATACGTCTGCTATGACAAAGTTCCAGCGGTATGAAGCGCCACGTCCAAAATCTAGGGACAATTTCCGTTTACCATATGTCTTAATATCTGATTTGTTTGCTGCTCTTAGCACTAATGACGGATTAATGTTTTTTCTTTCCTCGTTAAATGGAGGTACTACGCTAATTTCCGCTCCAGTGTCAACTAAAACTTGCGTGCCAGTGGTTCGGTCTTGTATATAAAAGAGGTGACTATTTTCAGGCATTACGTGTGTTGATGCTGTTGCCATTGATACTCGTGGGTATCGGTTACTAGCCCTGTTAAATCTACAAGGTTGTAGGCACTTTCTAGCCCTGTAGCCGAACATTTGATGATACCAACATATCGCGGGAGTTGGGCGTCGTCTAGAAGTTGACCGGGCCCTTTCACGCGAACGATCTCGCGATGACCTTCGTGGCTTTTCTCTCTGCGTTAACTCTGAGAGTTTTCGGCATAAAACATTTATTTCCTTCTGTAGAGTATCAAGTCTATCGTCTACTGTCACGCTGTGTAGTGGAGGGCTTGCTTGCTTGCTTCTTTCGTATATTCTATCGGCTATCTTTGCTATATTGTCTAAATCAGCATCCGTATCTCCTACAGCTAGGATCTGCTGAATATTTGCCGGGAGTCGGCGGAGCCACAATTGATAGAAGAGATTATTGTCAATGTGTCTATCGCCAAGTAGACTTTTCATATAATTTTTTAGTTGTGATGGGGTTCTATCTCCAATTTGTACTTGGCTAAGGAGTTGTTCGACGGCTTGCTGGTCACTGAGAGAGAGAGTTTTAATTACAGCCTCTTTTAGTACGTCGTATGGTTTTCCTGTGTCTGGTTTTGCTAGTGCCTCTCGAACGTTGTCAGCTACTTCGTCTGGGAGTAGTGTGCTTGTCAGGCCGAACTTATCCTTTTGCAAAAGAATGCGGTTAGCGAGAAAATAATTTTCAAGTCTTATAAACCAAAGTTTTGGGTCTGCGATTTTAAAAGAAGGGGCAGGGAGGTTAAGAGACCTCACGGACGAGGCTTGCTGTACGCTTGAAACTGTGTTTTCATAAGACATGCTTATAAAAACTAAATAGCACACGAAAAGAATGTAACAGTCACAAGGAAAAATAGATGGGCGAAAACAATGATAATAAAAAAATGGCACAATTTATAAAATGGAACAGACTTACTAAATTGCACCAATATATCAATTGTTTATGGATAATTGTTGTTTATTATGATTATAATTGCCACGTTTAATAATGTTTACGAAATAATGTAAGTGTAATTAAAATAATAATATAAATCCACAGTTGTAATTATAGTTCATTTGATAATCCAAATTGAGATGAAGGTAGTCGGATTTTTGGAATTTGATGATTTCGTCAAAATTCGCTTCCCGTTCTCATGTCAGGGTTACCAATTCTGTAATGGCTATGCTTCGTTAATTAATCACCCTCGGACCGTTATCGTACAATCTTCAACGATATTTGAAATCAGAAGGCAAAAAGAAGCAGCTACTACAGTTTTATTTAGTAGATAATTCGGACCAGACAGCAGAGAGGCAAAATGAATGAGCAAGCGAACTACGATTGTAGCAGTAGCAAGTAGCTGTCGTCAATGCGTGCAAAATGTACAGGTATATATATGTATAGGAAAATAGATGAGTCAGCGAATAGATTAAGCAGTTAATAGTGAAGCTAGCAGAATGAATATATGCGTAGGCGCTAAACAATGTTCAAGCATATGTATTTCATACAAGCATAATAATAAAGATAGTACTACAAGTTGTTATATCATGGATGACTTTGTCCATTAAATAAGTTAACAAAAGGGCTTAACTGAGTTAAATGAGAAAAAACCCATTTGCACGTGAGTCGCTATAAGTTCAGGCGCTAGAGCATGATCATCACACTGCTGTTAATTAGGTTTCTATTTATTTGTTTTTAGTGTGTAGTGATCTACTTTTATCAAGAGAACGGGATTGGTTTAATGGAAACGATTATTATTATTATTATAACCAATTATACCAGTGATTGTTTTACTGTACTTGTTTGTTTAACTGTACTAGAGATATTCTTCCGTTAATTGTGCTTTTGCACTGATCCGGTTACGTTCAGTAAGTGTTATAACTGTGAGACAGTAGCAGCTGATTAGAGGGGAGCGAATTTATCGATCGGACCAAAGACGCACAGACACGTAGAACGACCTAGAGTTCTGATTGGCCCCGCTTCCCTATCTAGCCCAGTAGTTGAGTCCAGAACGAAAGTCACAGCCTCGGATATATGAATCATTATATTTCAAACATACTCTGTTTATATACCAATCAAACAAACCACATCATACCATAAAATAGAAAATAACATTATACAATATTGGCCAGTAGAAAAATGACACGTTAAATAAGTATTGACCAATAAGAAAATAATACCATGTCCAAGTCCAAAAATAGCATTAGGCTAAATAGGATAATTTCTGGGATATTTTCCTGAATATCCCAACACCTCCCCTTTTTTGAAGATCCGGAGTTGATATCCGGATTTTGGATTTCTTCGCGTCTATCCTCCCCCGCGGAATAATGTTGGGTCCTCGTATACCCAAGTAACAGTTAGTGTGACTCTATTTAAAGCATATTTCCCGCATTGAGTAGAGAGTCCACTAGAGCTGACTAGATGCTGAGGATCAGCGACAGTAGATATGAGGTCATTAGAGTTTGATTCTTGTGAAACATTCCCATCAGATCTCTTCGAAATTCCATTAGTGAATAATACGTTACCAAAATAAACAGCATCTATCAAAATTGTATTAGATTTCTGACCATTGTTTGATGCACGTGACACATTCTCTGGCAAAACAAGATAATCTTTTCGTGAGCTGGATATGCTACTGTCTGTACATGCTGTTTCTGGGATGATGGAGTTTGACTCCATTACCGGGCATGTTTCTGGAATAGCAAGTACTGGACCACCGGGCGCATCATGGACGACTGTTTCGTTTGAAGTACAGTTCATCGAGGATTCATGGAGGCTGTCATTTTCCAGCTCACTGTGAAACTCAGATATCAATCCGTCCACTTCCGTCGCATCTTCATAACGTGACTGATTTAGCAGCTGCGTGCGGAATTTGACTAATAAATCCAAATGTCGTTCAAAGAGCAGCTGTAATCGATCGGAAGGGAGAGTCATTTTTTTCGAATCAGCACATGTGATGAAAATTACTGTGTGAATAATGACCAATGTCGTTGAAGGACAGTGACGACAATCTGGATGCTGATTGGTTGAATAATTAGACTGGATTTCGTCCAATTACAGAATGACTTTGGATTGTTGTTTTTTTCACCCCGTCGCCAATTGTTATAACTGTGAGACAGTAGCAGCTGATTAGAGGGGAGCGAATTTATCGATCGGACCAAAGACGCACAGACACGTAGAACGACCTAGAGTTCTGATTGGCCCCGCTTCCCTATCTAGCCCAGTAGTTGAGTCCAGAACGAAAGTCACAGCCTCGGATATATGAATCATTATATTTCAAACATACTCTGTTTATATACCAATCAAACAAACCACATCATACCATAAAATAGAAAATAACATTATACAATATTGGCCAGTAGAAAAATGACACGTTAAATAAGTATTGACCAATAAGAAAATAATACCATGTCCAAGTCCAAAAATAGCATTAGGCTAAATAGGATAATTTCTGGGATATTTTCCTGAATATCCCAACAGTAAGCACACTTGTAAGCCGACACGATCTCGGTATTCTTTCGATACCACGAGATCGCCAACAAATACATCTCAACTACAGCCATCAACTGCCTTCTGATATTTGGCTAACGGGTGATCTTATCGGTTAACCGTTGTCGAATATGCACTCCTTCATATATATAACGATTTTCACACAAATCGACTATACAAGTATTTGTGACCTTACTTCGAGTCACTAAAATAACAGTTGCTAATCTTCTCTCCATTGTAAGTAGTAAACCAGGAGAATGTCACAATTATGAAATGCAAAGTGAATTATCGATTAAACAATGCAGTGAAATGTGACAGAAAATCACTTCCATATCACTGATTCATATATTCACTTTGCAATCCATTAACGCTCAAAATGTGAGAGAGCAATATCTGCAACACATACAGCAATCAACACATATTCAGTGAAAACCAACATCGAATTCCGATGCCACATCTCATCGGAAATTTATCACATGTGAAACGAACACTAACAAATGGAAGTCGAATCACAACTCATTCCCTAAGCCAACATATGCATGAGGACGATTTCATGTTCACATGCAATCGTGTTGATCGATTTCATTCTCCATTCATCCACGAGGACACCAATTCACTTCAACACGTCTCATTCGATCGACATCACTGAGAGAAAGGTGGTTGGTGACGCTCTCAAATCGTATCACGATCCATGCATCGAACTGGACGAGTCAGTCAGCAGTCATCAACGCAAACTACACATGTTATCCCTTGATATCGAATATAAACGACAGAACACGTCACTCCACACAAATTCTCGTCTCACACGTTATGCAGCCTTCATTACAATGTAGCAAAATCTGATTACAATTTCATGGAATTATCAGACATTGTTTTATTTTTTCCAGAAACATGAATCACTCGTGAATCATAATCCCACAAACCGATAGTCATTTCCACTGACAGTGTAAAAACGCTGTTAGTAAACTTCAATCAAGATTTTGTCAATACCACCCTTTAGCCCTACTCATTCATAACTGATTACACGACTGATTATTATTCTGCACAAATATAATCCTACATTCATAAGACAAATTGACACTTATGAGTGGTTGGTTTAGTCACCATGACTTGTGTTGATTAACCTGATCTCATGGTGTGTATATATATGTAAAAGCCAACAAGTGATTGTTCGTAAGTCAGACAGACTGTGAAATTCTGGTCTCATCGAAATGTCTTCCAATTCCGAGTTTCCATCAGTCGTGTTATTGGTGTGTTCACTTGTGTGTTGCTGTGTTCATGCGCAGTTGGATGATGCGATGAGGAATGAGTTGTTAACTCTTCACAATGAGGCAAGACAATCTGTTCAAAATGGTCAGCTTGTTGGTCAACCGATAGCAGTCTCCATACAACCACTGGTAAGAAGAACGATTGTTTAACTTGAGTGTTCAGCGTAATTGTGTTTTGATTGAGACCAATTGATTTCAGTGTACGTTTCAGCAGGTCTCATTGTGGACATGGTGTGATGATGATGATAGAGAGAGAAAGAGAGAGAAGAAGGGAGGGAGGGAAGGACGGAGAAGTTTTTTGATTGATTGGTTGTTTGTGGCTGACTGCAGGTAGCAGTTTCTTGGCCACTCGAATGAGCTTATTGGTGTAATGTGTTGTAGAGTATATAGCTCACTGGTTGAAATCGTTGTGTGGTTGTAGACAGTGTTCTTAACTGTGCATTTGTTTGTTTTGAGTGAGTGTGTTTAGTGCTGTGTAGGTTGGTGAGAATAGTGCGTATAGGCGAACGAACTTCGTTCACATGGTTTGCGTGAATTCATAAGAGATGAGGAATTTTTGGCAGTTTCTGGCCAACTAGTGGAAAAAATGAGAATCTCCTAATTACATCACGTCGACGTGATGGCACTGATGACAACGAGTGACATTCGATACCACTTCACTCGCCTCATCGATTTTAACTAAATAAAGCAATAATTACATTATCAATTGATCAATTAACCGATTGATTTGCTCATTGATTAACCACATTTTTACAGAAATGGAATGTGGAATTGGAAACGAAAGCACAAATTCTGTCTGATCAATGTCGTGTTGGACATGATACAAATGATGATCGTAAAATACCGAAATTCCAATATGTTGGACAGAATTGGGCCGGTGCGAAAGACATAAACACGTAAGTGTCATGTGCATTGTGTTAAATATATAAGAATTTGTTCAACTCGTAGACTTGCAAGCATGTGGTCTGCATTCGCAGAAGTGTTATATCGATCTAATCGACATACGCCGTCATCAGATGCACAGCTACTTCTTTTCAGACTGTTGCTTTTTAACCAATCTGTGAACGCATACTCGATGCAAACAAACTACGAAACGTCACTCCAAATACCACAAACGTTTAGGAACACACATTTGTGAACCATGCCGCCTGTCACTCCACGCTCGACGATGTGGTTCGGAAGGTCTGTTTGTCAATGATAGATGAGTGAGGAAATATTGAGGACGATTGTGAGATGAACAGAAGTGATTGGTGTGAGACTCAACAAGTGGTTGCATCGGAATCTTGAACTGATCGTAACCAGTGTGACCACAGACCAATGTCACTCAGATCAACTCATCGAAAATCCACTCCAACTGAACACTGCAATGACGTAGTTAGTGTGTTGAGATAGGCTGGATTTCGCATCCACATGTTCACATGCTTGTCGAAAATGCACCCACATCTGTGTGCAATCGTGAAACTGTTAATAGTCAAATATCTCATTTACCATATATTAATTAATCAGATATTCACAGTCGATGGGCATCACCACAGTCAATCAGTGTGTGGTTACTTCGTGATATTCATCGACGTGCACACCTACAGCTGTGCACTGACATCCTTCTCCTCCTCATCCTCAATTACACATGTGATAATACTCTTGTAATTGACTGTTCATTTTTCCAAATGTTCGGATTCATGTTTCGATTGATTGCTATTGTTTGTTCATTTCTATCAAGCGGATTCCAATTATGGTTGGATGAATACAAGAATTACGATTTCTACACGAGAACATGTCGTATGGGTCAGTGTGGTCATTATACTCAGGTAAGCATTAGAACGATTACAAAGCATTCTTGTTAAAATAACTACTTCAGACAAAGTCGTATAGACACTGACTAGTGATATTGTGGTCGATGCATGAAACCGTCTAACATGGCTACGTGTAGTATCCAACTATCCGTTGTCACATACACACAAATCGGAAATGTTCCAGTCCTCGTTAGCACGCTTCTTCTCTGTGTTAGAGTGGGCGTCACTCTGTCCAACGAATCAAATCTTTCACATCTTTGCGATCTCTGACTGTTGTTGATTTAAGTGAACGATTTATATGAATGTGTCCTGTTCCAATACACTATTCAATATCTCACTGTCACTTGGTTCATTTCAGCTTGTCTGGGAAGACACTACGGATGTTGGATGTGGTGTCACGAACTGTCCGAATTTCCCATACGGACTCAGCATCGTGTGTAACTATGGTCCTGGGTAAGTCATTAACAAGATCATTTTCATTTACTTGAATGATTTGTCACCTGCTCTTCCCATTATGACTCCGTTCTGCATACTTTCTTCATGATCGGATGTTGTTTGTAGTGGAGTTCAATTTGGCTGTTGTTTACCAATATTACTGATACACTCTATTTCTATTCATCCGCTCAAACTCTCGTTGCTACCTAAATAAACACTTGCTATCCTGGAAATTATTGCCTGGCATTTTTAACTCTGTCACAACTAATGCATACTTTTGTCACGATCAACATAGATCACTGTTGAATGTTTAAACCAACTGAAATCACATTTCATCTGTTGTAGTTACGCTTGCCATGTACCCAATAGTAACGGAATCCACGATGAATCAGTGGTCATCAACAATGTACTCATTGTGAACAGAACCAACTCTTTTGAATATGAATTTCACTATATTTTACAAACACTTGAATTCGCATGAATATCAGAATTGATTTTTCATTACTAGTATTACACAGACTTTCACATGATCAATATCTCCTTTGAAATTTCTACATGTAATCTGACTACTGATATGCACAAGTAGTTTCATCGATATCATCAACAATGGTTGATTTTCATTGTAACGAGTGTGAATACGTGTCGATGTTCCAACTTCAATGATAATAATAAATGAACATGAGAAAATCACTGATGAACTTTGTCTCATCGTGTCGATGAACTTACTAACGTCTCATCTTTCTTACCCTATTTCAGCGGCAATTACGTTGGACGCGCACCGTACAGAACAGCATGAGGAATTGTTGGCTTCCGAAATCAATCATTTTTGCAACTGTCTTTTTTACATTTCACATATCATATCACTACTGTACACCGGTGAAAATCGCCTAATTTGTATATTTGTATTGATGTGAAATTATCTTTTCCAAATAACAATCGTTCAAATGTCAGGCAAAGTCTTGATGTCTTTTGATTTGCGCGTTTTATTCCTGTGTGACCGGAGTGTCCGTTGAGGAATGGGATATTGCAATAATAATTAATTCGTTGCCAGTCGTGTGTCAGCTTACTACCGACATCGGTTTCTGTCTATACACTAGTCAGTAGCATGACTTGCTTTCACACACAGAAGCTACACTCCGGCATACTGCAATTCTAGAGTATGATAACTTCTCTATCTCTACAAAACGATGAATTTACAAAATGCGCACAACTCAAATTAATTTAGTTTGCTTCCGAATTTTCATTTGTTTGAGGGAAAACGTGATCAATGTCATGTGTGTCAGGTCCCACCCTCTGATCAATCAATTGTAAGTACATCTCAGTGCTACAGAACGTCAGTCGTGGTCCGGATAACTCAGTGTTAAAGTCTCCGATTGTGATACTGGGTGATACGGGATCGAGTCTGTCAGGGAGCATCAATTCCCTCAAGATGACAGTTACACTTTGCTGACGAGTGCCAAGTAGCACGAAACCTAGATCCAGGGTTTCCCGTCGACTATCTCCAATCACTATCCTATCTCAACATTGTGAGAATGATTTCTTTTATTTATCATTATACGTGAAGAGTATATTTCGAAATATCTTCAGAGTTCCTGTCAGCTTAGGATAGTCACATTTTACATTAGATAGTACACTGATGACATAGATAGCTTAAGTGAAAATTTGTTTTCACATTCAATGAATTCTGAATGTAAACAATTTGAGAGAATTAGTGTTTGGTTGTGATTAGTAGTTGAAAACGTTTACTGACTAAATTTCATCAATAGTAACTGAACTTTGACAAAGTTTTGTCATCGTCATTAAATTCTTAACAGTATAGGATTGTGCATATTTTAGTAAAAAGATGTCTCACCATTGGCACGCAGATACCTCTAGTTAACCAGATTCAAATAAAGAAAACAATTCATGTCGTGCTTTTCATCACTAGTAACGGTCTAGATTTACTGTAACACATTACCTTAGAAACTCAGTAGTTTTATGATCTGTAGTATACAAACTACTGTCTGTTAAGCATTGCTTTTAAGTACAACAGATTAGAGATGTTGTGTTTTCAAGCTATCGTTAATCGTTTATCAACAATTCTATACGTCAGCATTAACTAACTCGGGTTTAGTCTGCAGTGTGGTTAGTATGTTAAGCCCATATAGCTTGTTCTAGCTTCCGGACAGGCCGATTTATCCATTCTTCTCGAGTCACGTTCTGACCTTGTTAATTATTCACTTATCAACCCTTACTGTTTTTATATGGGCGTATGTTTGTATACATCTTACTCGACTAATCACATACCTGTAGTTTATTTTTGTGTGACTATAAACATTGATTAACGCTTGATTAAATGGAGTTGGCTTACACGCCTTCTCCACCGCGAATCACTTCGCTTCACTCACTTCTCTTCGCTTCATCTCTCTGATTGCCTGTCCAGATCACTGAGTGTACAAAATATCTGTATTCGAAATTCATTCTCGTATTTGACTTATTTAATTTCGTTATAAACTAACGCGATAATTCTATACGAGGTTTAGTGATATGTATATCTCATTAGCAATCAGAAACGATCAAACTGGATTGAGATCCGATGCGACAAAATGTCAACGGATTATTGCCAATAAATTGTAATCAAAATATTCTGAGTTTGTTGACATTGATTTTCACTTAGTGTATTTTTCTTTTAATCATGTCAATGATTAATTGAAGCTAATTAACCATGTAAATCATCATAAGCGTGAAGTACAAATGAAGTGCAAATGACAATAATGATCTAGTATTTATTATGAAATAAACTTTGGCTAATTTGACTAAACAAAAAAGTGTATTTTACGCTGATTTCTCATTCGAACTCTTATATAATCAATGTTTCAACTAATCAATATGTACAAAATAGAATGAAATGAGTAAAGATTGATCACTGCCTTTATGAAGTATTTCGTGAAATCTATGTGCTACATATAAAATGATGCTGCTTGAAAAAGAAAAGAAAAGAAAAACGTTTGATATCCTCCAAATTATCATCATCAGTTCACTTCTAACTTTATGAGATCTAGAACATTTTGTGTTATTTACCAGTAAGAATTGCAGTTGACAGAGTTTGTCTAAATGATATTGTTGGAGAAGTTAGATCTCCAGAACTCACTTGGGAAATAACCTAATTTTGTAAATTTATTTAGAAAATTTGAATTTCTTTCTTTTCGCACCAAATGTGTTCTTGTCACCTTCATGTTGTATTTCCCACTGGGAAGTATCTTAAATGCTATTTGTCCGTTCCGTCTTTTAGTATGCTATTTGGTAACTCTCTCCAAGGAGGTTTTGTACTGTATATATACGTTGTGAACTATGTTTGCCGTTATCGCTCGTTTCTGGCTGTCATTGATCATAAATTCAAGTTCAAGAAGGCAACAATAACATGTTAGTAAAGATCGATGGAGGTGGTAATATTATCAAGCCAATGTAGATTATTCTAGCTTCTGAACAAATCAATTTATTCATTCTTCTCAGGCTACATTTTCACCTTGTCACTTATTCGATTATTAACCCTGACTAATTTTCACATGATTGTATATGTATTAATCACTTACTTTACTCATCACGTGTCTGTAACGTATTTTTGTTTGACTATAAATATCGAATCGTGCTTGATTGAATCGAGTTGTCTGATACGCCATCTCCACTGCACGT